AAAGCCAATAAAGTATATGTTTTTGAAGAGGGAAAACTATAGAATGCACATAAAATACACTTTTCTCAAATCCAGTATATTAAAGTGTCTTCTTTGATACCCAAAAAATGATAAAATGATGGTGGATTTGACGCGTTTTTGACCGCGCATAAATACATATAATGTGACATTTGAAAGCTATAAAGAACAATTATTTAAAGAACATAAATTAGTTAGAGAAAATCTTTAGTGACTTCTCTTATCTCGATATGGAAAAAAGCATGCACCTTTCCCCGCCCCCACTAGGGGTGGCAATGAAGCCAGACTCAAACCGGGACCTAAAGGATATACCCGATCTGGGTTCAGGTTCAAATCTTGGATTTGAACCCTATTTTCGTATGGGTTTGGGTCCAATAAGGTCTCGTCGAGTTTGGGTTCGGTTCCAATAAGGTCCGGTTGGATTTGAGTATGGGTCTAGTAATTTTTTTTAGGTCCAAATATATAAAATACTTTTTAGGTCCAAATATATAAAATACGTTTAAATATAATTAGATACATAGATATTTTAATTTTGGGTTAAGTCAGGGTCTAGACCCGACCCGCACCCCTTTCTCCTTCCCTCTCTGAAAATCCTCACCCTTCATCTCTTTCTCTTCAAGAGAAAAAACATTATTCGTCCTACACCTTGGAAGGAACATTCCCCTCCCCCATTTCTCTCTAATACCATTTCGGCTCTAGCAATTTTAAAATCCGACGATCTTGATTTGGATTTGGTGGGTGAGCGATTTGTGTTTTTTCTCCCCCAAAATCACCCGATACTACTTTTTATTAAACTGTTAACTAATTTTTTACCGGTTCAGCCGATTCAAATAGCCGATCCTGCTGATCTGGATCAATATGGAACAGCAATGCAAGATCTGATCCAGATTTTAAAACACTGGTTGATCCTAGAGAGTTGAACCTCAGACCCCAAATAATAGATAAACACTTTTTATTTTATTTTATTTCTTTTTTGGACATTTGCTGAACGAGGGCCTTTGGAGTGACAAAAGTGCCCTTTTCAATTTCTCTCTCTCGATTCTCATAATGTCTACCAGCATTCTTATATGAACATCTTTTACCGAATTTAAAAGTCCCAAAAGCATGTAATTGCAATGATTTAATAGACAAGTGCCGGCTTTCTCTTCCTCCTTTTTTATCCCCTCTTTCTTTTTTCTTTATATGGACATCAAGGTAGACCGGCGTTCCTTTTTCTCACTTCTTTTTTACTCCCCATTTGTCAGTATCTTATTTCCATATATCCTTCAACATGCAAGTAAGATTTTGAGAGATGTTTAGATGTTTCATGTGAAAACATACTGGCACCAGTGGGATTCTAGTAGGAGCATCTCCATCTTAACGGTTAATTTTTTTTTTTTAAATAATTTATGTTTTATATATGGTCAAAATGTGTCATCTCTAACAATGAATCTAGACCGTCCATTTAGTGAATTTTAAGATCTAGGATTTGATGAATTCAAAATCATATTTTTTAACGTTGTTAATCTAATGATAATAAAGTTATCTAAAAAATTCATTACTAGACAATCGTTGCATGAAATCATTTACATATATAAGCTAGAAGTTTCTAAACCCTAAATTCGATTAACAAACCTTCGATGCTTTCTCTCTCTCTATCTCTCTCTCGGATGTGAGCACACCTCTCTCTCTATCTCTCGAATGTGAGCATGTTTTATTTATCTCGTTCTCTGTAGAATATGATCACGCTCTTTTCGGATTCATCAATTTCGCTCTCTCCCTCAACAATCAAATGATGCCTTTTTGAAAATGTTTTTAAGAATGCAAATTTATTTAGTTATAACGATATTTCAAGAATGAAAGTTTATTCAATTATAACTATATCAAATCATATGCAATGCACGTGTATAACACTAGTACTTTATAATGCCACACTTCTAATTATTTTGCACTAGCTTGCGTAATTGCCTTGCCAATTGTGAGAATAATTGGCAATATGCATAGTGGGAATGAGGCATCGACACCACGGTCCAAGCTAACCTCCTATTAGGGGTAGATATAGGCGGGGCTGGTCATAAGGGCTCAAAGGACCGGCCCAACCATACTTATCGAGAGCGGCCAACAAGGGCGGTGCTCCCGCTCCAGGACCCGCTCTGGCGCTCAGTGGCCGGAATCTCGTCCGGAACCTGTTCCCAACTTTTTGGGAGCTCGCTCCTATTTTTAGTATTCTCGATCCCATTCACAACGGACCTGCTACCGTATGGGTCTCGCTTCCACTATCCCATGGAATGCGTTCCCGAACAAATTAAATCCCCGCTCCTAGAATTTTAGGATCGCGATCCCTACGTTCCCGGAACTCCATCCTTAGGGAGGATCCCACTATGAACAAAACAGAGCCTCCCACCATTAAAATAGTAGGGTTACAAACTAAAAAACGCGTAGAAATTGGGCCTCCAGGACTCAAAGCAGCTATTCTAGCCCTAATTCCAGATGGGTAAGTTTTGGGTGCTCCATTAAAAATTTTAATTTGCTTTTCAAATCTCTTACAAAGATTTTTCATTTGAATTCCTATAAAAAACCAGTCACCCTAATTCTTGAATTCGTCAAGACCAACTTTTATAGCATACTTGAAATCTCCTTGTATATTCAGGCTTTCATAGTTTCCCTGTAAAATTATCAACTTCCCATTTGATTTTTCTGTGTCTTGCTTGAGTTTTTCTTAAAAATAAAGGAGCTTGAACTCTTCTCCTCCTCTGTCAAGGATATCACCAAGCTTCACAACCATGGAGTTGGCTACAATCCAGTGAATGTTTTTTCATCGAAGATTTTAGCCATTTTCAGAGCTTGTTTGGCCTTTGGGAGATCTCCATGAAGGTCCCCAACTGCTAGCTAGTGAGGTTGAGATGAGTATGTAGATTTTTGTTGCTGTTGTGCTTTTTGAGGAGAGAGAAAGATTCCGCTCACTGTGAAGTCAGACGAATGTGTTCATAAAGTTAAAGAGAGAGAGAGGGACATGTTTTGGCAGATGGGTCCATTGGATTAGGGGTACGGAGGTTGAAGAGGTGGTGAATGTCTGGTCAAGAGAGAGAGAGATAGAGAGAGAGAGAGGAGAGAGAGAGAGATAGAGAGAAAGAGGAGAGAGAGAGAGAGGTAGAGAGAAGAGGAGAGAGAGAGAGAGAGGACAGGTGGAGATTGGCTCCAAGTTAAGCATAACACGATCTAACCTTGAATGGAGCTCAATCCATTCCAAATAGAAACACATTTTTCTTAGATGGGGCACGATTCAACTTTAAATGGGATCTCGTCTTGTTGTCTATGGGAGCGCAATCCTAATGAGCATGGGAACACGATCCCATTTTACATGGAACATGTTCCAGTTAAATAAGGTCCTCGATCTCAATGTATCGAGAACGCGCTCCCTGTTCATACAGGATAATGATCCGTAACTTTTACCCTCACTGGAACTCGCTCCCCGTGCTCCGGAGCTTTAGGTAGCCCTCAATCCGACGCTCCTGCAACCGGAGCCGTTCTCCCGCTCCCATTAACTATGGGCCCAACATGGGCTTGAGTTTGGCCCCTTCGTAGGAACTATTGGGCCAATTGGAATTTAAATATCACATTAGTATAATTGGTTGAGATTGGGCCTTAATATTAAGGCCTTACGTGCCCTTATTGGTCCATCAGTGTACAACAGGTCTCTTTTAAGGGCATGCATATCAGAGAAGCGCTTAAACCTAAAGCCTGTTACCCTAAGGGGCTAAGCCCAGTCTGACTAGGCCCAATGTGTGTCTGTCTTGCATATAACCCTACCTCCTATCATCATCATTATCGAATCCGTATCTCAACTATTTGGAGTACTTTAGCAAGAAAGATTTGTATTTGACTGCGTGTTAACTACTCCTATAAGAGAATTTCATGCATTTCCACCCTGGGTAAAAAGATATACTTGGGAGGATTTTTTGATATAAATTTCGGGATACATATTACAATCACCAAATGATTATTGTCACAAAAAAGGGAAAAAAAAAAATAAAAAAGAAGAAGAAGAAGAAAATTTTGAGCTCCTATATTGACTGTTCAAAGATTGCATAATCCTGGTCCAACTTTAGGATGTTTGTTTTTCTTCTCTTTGGTCTTTGGTGGAGGTGGTTACATCCCCAAAATTTTGGGTTTTCCAAATACTTGTATAGAGTTTTAGCCGTGGAAGTGAATGTACCACATGCGCCACGAAGAGAATGCAATCTTTTGGGTTTGTATAGAGCCGAGCCTCTAAACAATCAAAGTAAAGCGCACCTTCAAATAGTATCGAGAAATGTGGTTTCAATAGTGGAAATCTTTGTGATATTTTTAAAATATACTTTCATCTCTAATTATAAAATTTCAAGCTTAAAATTTTTTGTAGATCGAGCGGATCTATGAAAACTTGAAAATCTTGAAAATTGTTGGTTTAAAAAATGAAATACAAGATGCATTATTTCCAAAACTTGACATCCATTTTTTTCTCCTGTCCATGCATCTTGATATCGAGATGATCAATTTGAGAACATTTGGGCATCACAACCTTGGCTCTATATAAATTTTTTCTTTAAGTTATTATGTAGACAAACTACTTAGTTCTCATTCTTCCTTTTTTAAGTAAGCTTATCATTGAACTTTTTGCTCTAAACTTAGCTCCACATTATTTCTAATAAACTTTCATTCATAGTAGTATAGAAACTCCTTTCATGTTCCATTAACGCTGATTACTTGAAGGAAAGACAACATCCAAAAAAAAAGAAAAAAAAAAAACACTATATGACCAGGCTATTGTAATTAACTTGTTGCATACTGGTAAACCAATAGATTAATGTACAATTTAAAAATTTGAAATGATAAATCAAACTACGAAATTCCATTGATTGAAATGAATAATAGTGAGACATTTGGAATCATCAAACCAAGAACATAAAGAAAGAGAACGATGAGAACAACAATCAAGAAATGAGGCACTTAAAAAGCCCCAGTTATTGTCCATTTAGAATTGTGACTGGATTTGGTTCACCACCATCTTATCAACTTGGAAAGCTTTAGCCAACACATCAGTTGAGATGGCTGGTTTCGATCCAAAAACCGTATTAGAAATAGTGATCACCCCAGGATTCTCGCTGCTCAGAGCTGCTATGGCGACAGCATTCTTATAGCCCACATTCTGTTGGAAATGGATGAGGCCCTGAGGGAAAACAAACACATCTCCCTTTTGAAGAGTCTTGCTAATCAAGCGGTTGTCGGGATTGCTTGTCACGAAACCGACGTAAAGGGAGCCTTCCAAAACCGTCAGGATCTCTGTGGCACGAGGGTGGGTGTGAGGAGGGTTCTGACCACCTGGAGCATAGTCTATGCGTACCATTGAGATACCGAGAGTGCTGAGCCCTGCTAGTTGTGCAACATTTACGGGGGTCACCTTCGAGCCCAACGCGTTGGTCGTGTTGCCAGGCTTGTCGAGCCCGGAGAAAAAGAAGTCATTTGCTTGTGCCAACTTAGGGTCCTTGCACACCTTGCCATTATTGGCAAACACTGCATGCAATAGAGACATAAATGATATTGCACTAAACATGAATAATTATCTCGGGGCAAGAATATGTTAAATTAAGAAAAACAAATAATAGAAGTATCTGTGAATTAAGAATCAGGCTTGAGTGGTTAGCATTTGACAAAATCTTAAGTTTGATTCCTACTGATAAAATATCAAAAAAAAAAAAAAAGGAGAAATATTCACACGAGAAAATAAACTATAAAACAATTCAAATCAATAAAGGAAAAAATTAATGGAACACCTTGGCCTGATTGGTCTGTGATACAAAAATCTTGGAGGGGGCTTGGATCAGATGCCAAGGCAGGAGAAGCAATCAAGGCAAGGAGGGAGAGGAGGAGGGGGATGGACTTCATTGTCATTCTTTGTTTCTGACTCAAAAGAGAAATATGAAAGGTGATAATGAATGGTTTGGGAGCATAGAGGCCTTCATATTTATAGGGAATGAAAGTGGCTCAGGCCTCTCATGAATTATGATTGAATGAGTCTTAGGTATCCATTCAATCTCCTTTGTATTGTTCAATACACCCAAGCCTGTGTTTCTTATTTACAACCATATATGTTTTTGAAGATGGAAAATTACATAAGGCATACTTTTCTCTATTCTATTCCATTAAAGTGTCTTCTTCGATAGCTTGAAAACGATAAAATGATGGGGGATTTGACGCGTTTTTTGACTGCACAACTATATACGATGTGACGTTTGGAAGCTATAAAGAACAATTAATTATAGAACATGAATTATTTAAGGAAATGGTTTGATAGGGTGGCAACCCTATAAAAAAAAAGACGAGATCCGCATGCCGCCAGCCCGCATATTGTAGAAATGCGGGCTTGGCAATAAATATATATTTTAAATATAATTTGATCTTAATTTTTAGAGAATATATAATTTTTAACATGGAGATCATGAATATAAATAAAAATAAATTTTGAAAACTAAAACAATAATTATATTAAAAAAATATTTAAACCGTTAGTTACAATTGTTTTTAGATGGATCACCTATTTGCATCCATCTTTAAGATGGATGCTTTATACTTCTAGACCGCATATTTTGAAAATGCGATCCAGCCCGTATGAAATAATTGTTCATAAGAAAGTAAATCCTTACTTCATAACTCATCGAAAATTGCAATTCAAGCATTGAAAAAACTTTACATTGATCATCTCGGCTTAAACATTATAGTTGTGAAAAAAAAAAATGAACATTATCGTTGTGAAAAAAAAAACAATTTGAAGTTATAAAAATAGTTTACATCGTAATAAATTATCTAGATCGTCTATTTCACCAGAAAAATAAGTGTTCATAGTTCCACAAGATCTGTATTATTTTTTGAATTTCAAATTTTATTGTTGGTATTTGAAATTGATTTTAGAGGTATCATTTTTGTTGCTGAAAGTAAGTATTTTTTGGACGAGGATTTGAGGTGAAACTTTATTTCGTTTTTATAAAGCCTAGGCGATATAGAAACTTCTTCTATTGGTTAAAGAACTTCCTTTATCTCGATGGGGAAAAGAACCTTTCCCTTTCCCCACCCCTTTTTCTCTCTCTAAAAATCTTCACCCTTCCTCATCTTTCTCTCAAGAGAAAACTCATTATTAGTCCTACACCATGGAAGGACCATTGCCCTCCATCTCTCTCTAATACCATTTGGCTCTAGCATTTTAAAATCGGACGATCTGAAATAGGAATAGCTAATTTGAATAGGATTCAATGGGTGGGCGATCTGGGTTTGCTTTCCCCCAAAATCACCCTATACTACTTTTTATTAAACTTTTAATTGATTTTTCGCTGATTCAGCCAATTCGGATAGCCAATCGAGATGCTCTTGATTGATACAATGGATGAACGATGCAAGCGCTGATCCAGGTTTTAAAAGAATGGCTGATCCTAGAGATTTCAACCACACACCCCATAGATGAACACTTTTTATTTTAGAAAAAAATTATTTCAAATTGGACGGTTATGAATGTATCATTGATTAGACTCCAAATTCAAAAGATTTTTTTTTTCGAGTCATCCAATCTTATATTTAATAGCTAGTACCAATTAGGACTTTTTTGTATAAAAAATAAATGGCCTCATGAAACCCTTTTATTTTATTTTGGATGTTTGATGTGAACGAGGGCCCATTGAATGACAAAAGTTCCCTTTTCATTTTCTCTCTCTCGATTCTCATAATGTCTACGAGCATTCTTAAATGAATTTTTTTTACCCAATTTAAAAATCCTAAAAGCATGTAATTGCAAATGATTTAATAAACAAATGCCGGCTTTCTCCTCGTCCTTCTCTTATCTTTGATTCCCTCTTCCTTTTTTATTTATATGGACATCATGGTAGACACGCGTGGCTTTTCTCACTTCTTTTTCCTTCCCATTTGTTGGGCATATTTGTCTTTTGCCAATGTTTTATTTCCATATATCCTTCAGCATGCAAGTGAAACTTGAGAGATGTTCAGATGTTTTCCCTTTTTTTTTAATGGAAAAACATGCTGGCACCAATGCGCTATTCTAGTAGGAGCATATTATATTTACATAAAATATCTACTCATAGAAGATTTTCAAATGAGATTTTAGGATCTACTTTAAAATCATAAAATAAGTATATATCAAGCTTTCTATACTTTTCTTAATGCATAAAACTCATATACATTTTGAATGGACAGCTGAGATGGCCCCAATCACAATTTCACGCTTCTATTATGAAGCGCCAGATCTAGATCAAACGATCAGTAACTCACATGATCAAAATTAAAGGGTTAGATGGGGGAAGTATATATTTTCCATACAGTAGGAGAAGTATAGAAACCGTTCTTATATATAACCTAAGAATGAGTACACAAACCTTCGATGCTTTTCAATCTTAAGACGTTTCTTTAAGACACTTATAAACAACATCTGTTGTTGTAGTAGTTGTTATTCAGAAGTGCGTCTCTAGGTCAAGGAAGTTACATTCCTATGGGTCCTAAAATTACTCCTACATAGACTTTTACTTGAGGGAGGGTGTGAGTGTAATACTTGCTCCTGCAGGAGGATATAATCTTTTGGCAAAAAAACATATTGAGCAAGGAACTTCAAAATTGAAATTGTGGGGTATGATCTTTCAATGGTTTACAGACAGTCTTTAGATAAAGTAAAAGAAAAGAAAAAATGGAGCTAATGAGTGCATTGAAGTGGCCCTATAGGTAAACCTTGAGACCCTTTTCAAAAACTACTTTCATCAGTCTATGACTCTAACTTGAACATACACCCCTAAAACCTATAAGTATGCCTTTCCCCTCTTCAAAGCTTGGCAGTTAAAAGCTATTTCCTAGTTTGATTTCTTGGGATCTATGATTTAGAGAGAGAGAGAGAAATAGGTGTTTTAGAGTGAGAAGATGAAGTCCTTGTTGGTGGCCATGCTTTCTCTTACTCTCTCTCTCAGCTTTGCATCCGATCCGAGTCCCTTGCAGGATTTTTGTGTTGCCGACAAAACGAGCTCAGGTTGGTACTATTATAAAACTGTTTTCTTTAGCAAACTCATGGGTGAGTTTTGGCATGTAAATTGCACTGTTGTGTTATAAAAATCGGATTCGGGCTTCGGCTAAACAGGGGCTCAGCCTGATTCCCCTCTACCGTCTTTGGGGAGTCCAAGTCGGCTCGGTGATTTTTTAAGCACTGCCTTTTTGGGGATGGTTTTTACGGTAGAATTTAGTGTATATTGGTTATTTGTTTAGAAGAATTGAGGGGATCTACGTATATTTTTCATGAAAAGAGGGGATAAAAAAAAGGAGAAAAGGTGAGCATGGAGTCTGTGGGGGTAACAACCCGGCATCTAGAAAGTTGAGTATTTTGAGCTTACGGCAAGTTTTGTTGCAAAGTTATTTTATAGGTAAATAGGACACAAGACTGATTTTGAGAGGCCAAAGGATCTTTCTTTTTGTTATTTATTTGGTTTTTATAATTAGGGAGCTTCACTTGGCAATAGTGCTCATATATTTACTGATATAATAAATTGTATGCAATGGGACCATTATTATTATTCCTACTACTATTATACTTAGCCAAATGATATTCAACTCCCTCGAGAGTGGAATGTGCAGGTACTCCCTCGGGTAAAGCCCGACTAAGAATTAATCTTAGGATCCCAAATTTCTGGGGACGTAACTTCTTCAACCCATAGAATAAGCTCAATGAAAAAGATTTCCTGATTTTACCCTCTATATGCATAAAAAAATGTATCTAGATTGAATAGAGACCATCCAATTTTTAGATGATGAGATCTAATTGTTAGAAAACTCAAATTTCAACCTTTTCTATGAAAATAATCATCTATTAATTGTTACTTAGTTCCCAAAATTTCATATTGAAAAAATCCTCCCAAGTAGGTCTTCTGACCAAGTGAGTAGAAATATACTTTTGAGGGAGCATAATATACATGCTCTTACTATCAGTACTACTGCTATCACTACTACTGCTAACACTACTACTCCTACGACTACCACTACGACTACTACCACTACCATTACCACCATTTCTTCTAAATGTTCTCTAACTACAATTGCTTAGGTCAAAAGACATTTTATTCCCTCAGTTAAAACTTCACCTAGAATTAATTTTAAGACCTCAAATTTTGGAGATGTAACATCTTAGACCCATAGATTAATCTCAATGAATTGGACCTTCTGCATGCACTTGAAAAAATAATGCCTCGAGATTGAATAGAGATCATCTAATTTTTAGATGGTGAAATCTAAGTGTTAGAAAACTCAAATTTCTTTTCTTATTTTGAGAAGAATCATCTATTAATTCTCAAGTAGTTTCCAAAATTTCAGATTGAAAAAATCCTCCCAAGTAAGTCTTATGACCGAGGGAGTATAAGTAAGCTATGCTGCCGAGGGAGCATAGTATAGATGCACATTGCCTAAAGCTTGTTCTCTATAATGAGACTAATTATTTCTTGTACACAAAGGTCTTAAACACCCTTAACTGTTAAATAGAAATTCGTATGGCATTTCCGTACAATGAGAAATTTCTCCTATTAGCCTATTTGACATCCAATGCTTGAAGGTGAAACCTTTTTGTACCAAAAAGTAAACGACCTCATTATATACTCCCCCTTAATTTATTAAGGCTGGATTTCTTATTTATCTTTGCTTTTGCATATAGTCTTTGTGAATGGTAAGGTGTGCAAGGACCCAAAGTTGGCTCGAGCAAATGACTTCTTCTTCTCCGGCCTTGCCAAGCCTGGCAACACGTCTAACCCACTAGGTTCAATGGTGACCCCAGTGAGTGTGGATCAACTACCAGGGCTCAACACCCTCGGCATCTCCATGGTCCGCATAGACTACGCGCCCAATGGTCAGAACCCTCCCCACACCCACCCTCGTGCCAGCGAGATCTTGACAGTATTGGAAGGCTCCCTTTATGTCGGTTTTGTGACAAGTAATCCTGATAACCGCTTGATTAGCAAGACATTGCAAAAAGGAGATGTCTTTGTGTTTCCGGAAGGCCTAATCCATTTTCAGAAGAATGTGGGCCAACAGAACGTGGTTGCCATTGCAGCCTTGAGCAGCCAAAATCCTGGGGTTACAACCGTCGCTAATGCGGTTTTTGGGTCGAACCCCCCCATCTCTACTGATGTTTTGGCTGAGGCTTTCCAAGTTGAGAAGGAGGTCGTGGATAAATTGCAAAAACCAGTTTTGGGTGGACAATAATTGAGAAATTAGTGTGGTTTTTTTAATTCTATTGTTTGAACTTTTTGTTTGGGATTTATCGGATTTCTTTTTTGGGTGGATCAGTGAGGAACATAAACCCCTACCCGGTTTTAAAAATAGTGAGTAGTTTTCAAATAGGTCAGTGAACATATAAACCTAGACCGGTAGCTCAAGCTCAGGTGGTGCTACCATCACGATCTCCTCCCATTCTCAGGATTTATTGGATTTGATTAAATGAAATTTAGTTTCTCTATGAGTGAGAGAATTGTCTAGGACTGCATTTATTCAAAAGCAAATGTAGAAACTCAAATTTGACTGTTGAAAAAGTTATATATGTGAATCATGGGTCTACCAAATGCTATATAAGAAAAAGGCTAGTAATGCTTTTAACTGGAGTTAGTTTCAGGCACCTACTCAAATTGAGCTCTAGACTGTTAATTTGAGTGGGCTCCTCACTTTTTTTCCCTTGAATTTGAGTTGGCTTCTCATGAGATGGTGATGATATTTATGCCCATTAAATTATGTGGTCATGTGGATTATGGTATGCAAACTTCCTTTACAAATTCTTTCATGTATTAATACTCTTATGATACAATGATACCCAGGCTTGGGCTTAATGTCCTAAGGTATTGACGGGGTGCAATATTATATCGGCAGTTCGAATCCAGACACTGAATTAAAAATAACAAAAAAAAAGAGGAAAAAAATGAATCTTAAAAGTTGGGTAGCACAATTGTGTATTAAATGGAAAATCAGATATTGTTAATTGACGGCTAGTCATTTGCGAGCATGCAAAGTGCAAAATACGGCTTAAACATCATTACGCTTGTTTTAAGCGCTTTCCAATTTGTTATGTGAATATAAGGCTAGAAAGTCTTTTCATATAAATACAGTGCTTTTCTCTCTATTCCTCAATGGGACTAAAAACCTTAAATCATATTATTGAAATTCAATGTAGCACCTATTCTGCAATGGGGCTAAAAACCCACGACTCCTCTTTATATAAATTAATATTTTAGAAATGGGTGAGGTTTCTACCTTAAACAATTCAATTAAGGTGCAAATTTTGATGTATTTTTTTTTTAGGATTATCTTAAAATCTATTTTCATCTTTAATTATGACATTTTAAAGTTAAAAAATGGTTAAAATCAAGTAGATCTATAAATATATGAAAATCTTGAAAATGGACAGTCTAGATAATGTGTTGCAAGATGTACTATGTTTAAGACTCGAAATATTTTTCTTTTTTCATATTCATACATCTTGATGTCAAGATAATCAATTAGAGGATTTTTCAGCATTAGAACAACCTTGTTTCATGGATTTTTGGGATACATCTTTAATTCTACATTTAAAGTTGCAACCTTATATAAACTTTTTCCTTTAGAAATACTTTAGCCTTAAATCATATTATTGAAATTCAATCTAGTATTTTACAAATCTAAGGTACTAACACCTCGCTTATTGCACTTAGACCCTACCATAAATCTTGGTTAAGTTTGATTTAATTTTGGTTGAAGGAACCATCTTGATAAAACATAGCTAGAAACCAAAATTGAATTAAAGAAAAATAAATTCAGCCTGATCGATTTGCTCTGGTACTTCGTTGGTTTGCTCATCTAGATCCGTCAATTTGGCTCATTTCATTTAGAGAGCAAAGAGGAGTTTGGTCGGCTCCCTCTATCATGGCATTTGTTTGTTCATTTACATGTGCCCAGCTTGCTAATTAAGATTCCTTTAAAAGGTAGAGACCTACTAGTAGTGGACTTAATGAACCATCTAAGCTAGCCTTTGGATGCTAAGATGAAAAGCCTTTGGATGCTAAGATGAAAAGACCTTATCTATAAAGAGTCCGTTTATCTTTTGTACATAGATATCACAATCATCTTTGTCCTTTAAATTTCAAAATGGGTAGTTGTAAGCGTGTTACTGAATAGGCATAAAGTTTTTTTTTTAAAACTCCTAGACTTCGTGACTCACTCCAAACCATCAAATTTGACATCTAATGAGTGAGAACGTTTGTGACCTCTATATACAAAAGATAAATAGTCTCTTTGTATATAATCCCAAATAAAAAATGTAGCTAACTAGTTTTTGGCAGAATCGGCGGCGATTCTCTTGCTATATGAAATGCCAAACATCAACTTATTAACGGTGTTTTGCATCAACGTACGGGGGAATTTTTTGATGCGTCTCCTACGTAAATATATTCTATATTTGGGTGTGGTTTGCATATGGTACCCTCCTTATACTAATAAAGTAAGACGCAACTCTAAATTTTATCCGTATATATTCTAGGATTGAAAACCTTTATGATGGCTTGAAAATTTATTTTTATCTATAATTATAAAATATTAAAGTTCTAAAAATGGTGCAAATGTGATAGTTCTAAAAATACTTGAAAATCTAAAATGTAGACGGCCGGATAATTTTTATAAGATGTACTATTTTTAAATTTTGAATTTTTTTTTTCTACATCCATGCATCTTGAGGTCGAGATAATTAAATTGAAGGGCATTCTAACACGAAAAGTCTCTTTTAGAGGATTTTCAAAGTGCACCTTACTTCAATAGTATAAGACTGATACCTTATATAAACTTTTTCTTTTATGCTTTTTTTACCCACATATAATATACAACTGTTTGGCTAATCACATTTGTCCAATATTCCACATGCGATCAATAGGTTGTTAGCGGCATTTATTAAACCGCATAATGTGTGACATGGTTATTTGCCTCATTGTTTGTATAAGCGTCCAATCTAACTGCTAACCGCCCAATTAAATCGGATTCCGGTTATGGGCGGTTAGGGTGATCAATCACTATTTTAAAAAAAAAGAAGAAGCATATAATTCTAAAAAATAAAGAATTTGATTTGTAATGCATTTTTAAATATTCTTTACATTATGGTAAATATTAAAAATTGTTTTGGTCATTAATACTCACTTTTATATTTTCCCATCTTTTTAAGAAAATTTTTAAAATAGCCTTTGAAAAATATAAAATGGGTTAAAATCCAGTTTTTGTTATTAATTTTCAACTTCATTTGAATGTGTTTTTTTAATCATTCTTTATATGCTTTTCATACTAGATTTTTTTTGTATTTTGTATTTTTGTATTTTATATTTTTGTATTTTTATTTTTTTCAGCACTTTTTTTATAGCCAGGGACTTGCCCTGTTAGAGTGGTTGAATCGGCCGGTTTACCGGTTAGAACGGTTAAACCGTTTCTAGACCCATATCCGGTTAACCGTTCTAGTTTGATTTTGCAAACACGGGTCTGCCTACGATCCCATTTGAGATCGAACAAATGAGATATCTCAATACATATAGAAATGCATGGATATAGAAAAACTTGTCCACCCACTATCCCATTGAGATGGAACAATTTGGGATATCTGAATACATGGATATAAAAACATAGAAAATTGGAGCTAACATGGAAGTTTCAAAAAAGAGATCAGTATTGACTACCAATGCAATGTCATCGTTGTGGACAGCAAGCCTTCCCAAATAAAGCCTAACATTTTACTCTTAACCGCTACACTATGATATCGAAAATTGATAACTTTGTGTTGAGTTGCAAAAAAACCATCATTAGCACCATAAAAGGGCAAAATCTGTAAAAATCGTGGTGAGACATTAAGTATTCTCTAAGGAAAATGATTATATAAAGTTGTGACCTTTTTGTAGATATAAGGCTGCTGTAATGTACAATGTCTATTAGAAATCGGGTTTAGGTCAAGATAGTAGCAGCTGGGTTTTCATAGCACTACCTCTTAAGTTTTATTCCTATGCAATCTTATCAAAAAAAAAAAAAAATTTACAATGTGTACCTTTTTATACCTCTTAAGTTTTATTCCTACGCAATCTTATCAAAAAAAAAAAAAATTACAATGTGTATCTTTTTATATCGTATAGGTTAACCATTTTATTAAAAGATGTGTCACTTTTTAATATTGTCTTAAAGATGTGTTGGATCAAAATCATCGAAAAACATTGTAAACTTACTTCTACAAATAAATTTGTCACTATATACAAACCACACCTTTCTCTTCAAAGAAAACCAAATTCGAATACCAAAAAAAGGGGTGACGTTTTTATAGCGATACGGTTTTGATATTGATTTTTGGTAAGGTCAAAATTTATTACCGCGGCTCTTGAATGCTAGTTATAGATTGCAAATCTATTGCTCTATCTAAAAATTGGAATTTGAAGCTCTCAAATGATATATAGATGTGACAGATCTAGGAATATTTGGATAGTAGAAAAAATGTATCACAAGATAGACTTTTTTTGAGCTTCAATTAGTATTATTGTTATTGTTGTTTATGTTTTTTTTAGGTTTTTTGTGGATCCAAGATTGTTGCGGTCGAGATGATTGATTTTTCTAGTTTTTTGAACACTAAAGCTAGTGTTATCAAGATCGGATTGATCATCGGACCGGTGAGGGGTTTGGTCTAATCAAAATTAATATGAATACTTGTAGACTCCATGTGACTAGATTTTAAAAATGTTAAAAAAATAAATAATAAATTTTAAATACATATTATATTTAAAAAAAATTACCCGTTTTGTTTGGGCACTTGAACCTACCAAAATCGATCAAATACTGATTTCGACCGTTTTTTTTTTTTAATAAAAATCGATTTTTACTCTAGACGGGCCTGGCCATTATACCGCTTCGGTCCGGTCTTGATAATTAGGACCAAAACTGCGTATTGATATTTTAGGTGGGGCTTTAGAAAACTGTGGCCCTTACTTTACGCACGTAAAATAAATTGAGTGGTTTGGTTCCGATTTGACTTGGGGAAAACCTATTACTAAAATTTTATTTTCTTTAAACTTAGTCCTTCCCTCCCCCTTCCCCTTCCCCCCTCTCTCACTCTCTCTAATTTCATTATTCTCTTAAAAAATATTTCTCATTGCACATGGGAGGCCAAATTACGTCTATCAGAAAAAACAAATTCCATTTATTCGAATCATCTTTATTCAAACACAAATACTAAAGAATTGGGGCACATGAATTATTTAGTTATTGTCCATCCAAAACTGGGATTGGAGGTTGTTCACCACCATCTTGTCAACTTGGAAAGCCTTAGCCAACAGATCAGTGGAGATGGCCGGTTTCGATCCGAAAACCGCATTAGCAACAGTGATCACCCCTGGATTCTGGCTGCTCAAGGCTGCTATGGCCACTGCATTCTTATAACCCACATTTTGTTGGAAATGGATGAGGCCCTCTGGGAAAACAAACAC